AGTGTGTGCGGCACAGACAAATAGAGAAAGACACTTAGGAAAACCACATGCAGCCTTTGTTTCCTGTAAGAGCTGTCAGGATAAAGCAAGAAAGCGGCTTAGCAGGCACTTGCTCTTCCTCCCTCCTCCTCAAAGGAGAAACATCTGCCTGCCTCTTCAGAAAGGATGCTTAGCATGGATTTGCAGCATGGCTCTTTCAATTAAGGCTTTCTCTCACTTGTATTCGTAACCTGCCTAAGGGTCCACACGCATAATGCTATTTTAAAACAACCTTTTTGAACTCATGGCACAGCTGAGAATTTGCAGGATTGCTGTGGGTAACCCCAGAAAGTGGATTCCATGGAGGATGTGTCTGGTCACATAAGGGTTTGGCTGGTCAAAGGACAAGTAATTCACCTTAGACAGGTGCAAGCAGAGGAAGGATTTGGTCAATTCATAGATTTGGATCCACAGAAGCACAGCACAATAACCAGTGTATGTTGCATCCAATCCTGATCATGTTTTTAAAAAACACTGGGAATTATTTCTGAGTATGCATACATGGGACTGTTCTGCTAGTCCAATCCACACACCCTGTTTGCCATCTCCAAAGGAAACTGCCACCAGCCTTAAAAGGAAAGCTTTCCCTGGCTCAGTCCTGGGCTCACCTCTTCTAGATACCCGCCTCCCCGGCACTCCTACCTCCTCCTCTGACATCAAAACCACCAGCTGCACATGCTCTTTCTCTCTGTCTCTCTCTCTAGAAGAGAAATGTCTGGAAAGGGGGAGAAAAAGATCAAGAAGGACCAAAGGAAAGAAGGAAATAGCAAGATAAAGGGCAAGAAATGTGAAAAGAGCAAGACTACTGTGATATCCCACCGTGGGTTAAGTCAGCCTTCCCCAGTGTGGTGACTTCCAGAGGTCTTGAATCTCACGTCCCATGAATCCCAGCCAGAATGGTCATTTGCTAGGAATTCTGGAAATTGAAGTCCAAAACACCTAGAAGGTACCAGGTAGGGAAAGACTGGGATTATACTGTCTTTTCTATTTCATGGTAAAGCCATGCAATGCAATGAATATGGATTAATATGAGACCCCCAAGTTGCTTGTAGTAAAGGATATGGAGAAAGAACCAAAAGATGGAAACAATTTTTCATGATACTTTAAAGCCCAGAGTAGCTTAAAGTTGCTGCTGGGCCCCATCTGTGTCCTGATCAGGTACAATAGGGGTCCCTCAAGTACTGCCTCCCTTCTTCCCCCCTCACTGGGGCACACCATGTGAGCACTGAAGGGAGTGGGAATAACAGCCACCAAGAGGAGGCACCCTTGACAGCTGCCATCTGTTCCCCATGCTCTTGCTCATGCCGCAGAGCAGGATTCATAGAATAGTAGAGTTGGAAGGCACCTTGAAGGCCATCGGGTCCAACCCCTGGCTGTTGCAGGACACTAGTTTGCACCATCCCACTCAGATGGCTGTCCAGTTTCTTTTTGAATGTCTGGATTCATGAATTTTTTGAATGTTTGAATGTCATGACAAGTGATGAGTATAGGGGAACTATTATTTCTTGTTATTTGGAAGCAATACTTCTATTAATGCATCGCAAAATAGTATTTGCCCTTTTTGCAGCGGCATTGCATTGTTGGCTCCTATTTAGCCTGTGGTCCACAATAACACGAAGGTCTTTTTTCCTTTTCAGTACTGTTGAGCCATGTATTCCTCATCTTGTATTGATGCATTTGGTTTCGTTTTCCTAGGTGGAGGACTTGGCATTTGCCCCTACTGAAACTTACTCTGTTGCTTTCCACCCAGTTTTCAAATTTATCAAGATTACCCTCATCTTAAATCACCTTCATTCTGTATTCCAGGGTATTTGCTATTCCACCCAGTTTTATATCATCTGCAAATCTGATTACTGTTCCTTTGTAATTCCTCATCTAAATCATTAATAAAGATATTGAAGAACACTGGGCCCAGTACTGATTCCTGTGGCATCCCACTAGTTACCTTCCTTCTGTTTGAGAAGGTGCCAATGATGATTACTCTTTCTGCCCAATTTAGCAGCCAATTTTGGATCCACCTAATAGTTTTCTGTATAATTCCACTTTTTGCACATTTGCTTATCTGAATGCACTATGTCAAAATTTTGCTCAAGTCAAGGTAGATTATGTTCACAGTGTTCCCTCTGTCCATTTGGGAGGTTACCCAGTCAAAAAAATGAGATTCAATTAGTCTGCCAGGATTTGTGATAAACCCATGTTGGCTTTTATTAATCACTGCATTTTCTTCAAGGTGCTTTGCCCCCAAAATTTTCCAGAGATTGATGGCATTCTAACTGTCTTATGAGCAATCCTGGTGTGCTGGCATCTGCAGGAACACATGGTAAAGGGGTCCCCAAAGCCGCCTAATACTGGACTGGGAAGCTTGGCACAAGGTGGCCCTTGCTCTCCTTCTAGCCACTCAGATGCTGCCCATCCACTCAAATCCAACAGGCAAATAGGTGTCAGGGCGGAGGGAGTGATTCTGCTTGTTAGCAGCACACACTGTCCCAGCAGGCAAAATCACGGCACCTAACCAACAAGAACTTTGTCGGTCAGATCAGAGAAGCTGGGCAGCAGCCAAGTAGCCACAAGTGCTGTCCAGGTTCCCTGTTTTATATTCCTGCAGCTGCTGCGAAAGCTGATTCTGGGACCTTTGCTAGTTAGGCTGGGGCAGGCAGCAGGAAGCACCTGCTCAGATGCTTCCTCTTGAAGAAGCAAATTCGAGTGGGACCTTCCCCTGCCATGCACTGCCCGTCTCAAGGCTCGACTGGGACTGGGAAGGCACAGGGTGGTCAGAAGCACAACAGTTCTTTGATGTTGCCAAGGGACTTCTAGATTTTTTGGCCAGACCCAGGTTATCATATTGCCTAGGTTTGGATAACACACTAAGCAACAAAGGTTTCCCTAAATCTTACAACAAGCCATGGCTCCCTGGAGGTGTTTATGCGTTTTCACACACAACCCAGGTTTTCTCCAGTGCCTTAGCATGTTATGAAAAGCCAGTGTGATCTTTCTGAAGTTCCCCTCTCCCACACAAGTCCCCATGCACTGTTACAGCTTGGTCTGTAACCAAGTCTAAGCATGATTTTATTCCACTGTTTTTCCTGCAAGGAACTCAAGGCAGCTTACACAAACTTCCTCCCCTCCATTTTATCTTCACAACAACCCTGTGAGGTAGGAAACTACAGCAATTGTGCATTCTTTCTTTGTTTATACCAGCCTACACTTCCTACACTCATCCTTTGGCGTGTTCCCCTTTTAATTCTTCTTATATTGCAAATTCCCTGGGACAAGGCTTGTCTTCATATACTGTGTAAAACCACAGATTACATTGTGCTTTAGAGGAGCCATTTCAACCCACATGCAACCTGCTGGGCCATGCTGGAGGGGACAGAAAAGTGTGCTTTTATCCATGCATACCCAACATTTTAAAGATTGTTTTGCCTAATTTATTCTGTTTCTGCAAATCATAGAAAAGGACAAGAAAGCAACTGGCTGCTTGGGGTTGCTTCTTTCTGCAGAACACAGCTGCAAGGAGTCAATCCATTTATTTACCCCCACCCCAGCTGCACAGTAGGAAGATTAAAAGGTACAAAAATGGGAAAAGCAGCTCTCCACCTTTGCTGCTACTCCCTTCTTTACCCTTGTATTATCTCAGGAATGTTATGTTGCCCAAACTATAGGACTGCAAATGTTCTGGTAGGGGGAAAATTCAAAAAGCACGGATGGCAACTTAATCTTGATTCTGCTGTTTACTGAACAGACCTCCAAATAAGTTGTGATTGAAAGCTGCTTTGTGTCCTTTGTGCATTCTCTTTCATAGAAATTTTATGGGTGATATACTTCTTAGTAGTTAAAACACTCCCAACAAAGGAGGATAGCAAGTTCTTTTTAATGGATAATTTTAAAGAAGCTAACAGAGTAATCCTAGCTGTGTCTGAGAAATGCCACTGAGTTCTATTTATGTAGCACTACAGCTTAAGGAAGCTTCCACTACTCCATTGTAACTACCATAGTGTGGGCATTTTCAGTTCTGCGTATCAATGGAGCAATGGTTTGCTTGCTTTTCACTTATTCAAACAATACGTGTACATATGCTCCTCTGCCATCTACAAGATCCGGAGCAGCATACACTAAAAACCATCCAACTAAATCACAGAGACACAAATAAAACCAAGCAGCAGCCAGAGGCAGCGATCAGGTTTTTTTAAAAATTCAGTCAAATTCAACTAGAGCAAATGCTACAATCACTGATCAACCTCTAGAACAACGTTGTTCAATACAGCATCATCTCTGTCCTAAAATAAACGTTATGTAACTGCACCAATCGTGCAGGAAAAGCTCACTACGAGGGCTACGTTTAAAAGCCGTTAATACGGATTTGGCTTTTTTATGACCCTAAGCACATTTTGATAACGTTCGCTTGATTGATGGACTTTCTTTTTAAGAAATGCTATTTTCGTGGCTAGGCATCCAGATCCTTCGGTGTTGCTGTTATCTAATGCCCTTCTCCGCCCTGATCAACCACGTATGATTCCCAGTGATACGAGCCATGAGAAAACGAATCCAACAGACACACCCAAGAGAGGACACCGCTAAAACTCTTGCAACACCACAGGGGACGGGGAGGCAGAGAAAAGAATGAAGGGCTTCCAGGACCGACTTCCCCTTTTAAAGACAGCCCCTGTATTGCGTAACACGATCCTTTTACGTCACGCAATGCGACTGGAGAATGAGGCGTTAAAGGGAGGAAAAATGAGCTTCCCCCGCGCCTTTTATCCCTGGGAATGTCAAAGGAGAATCCATAACTTCCGGGTTCTCGCGGATGAAGTTTCGTCGGAGGAGAATGGAACTGGAGGAGACTGGAAGGCGGGGCCACAGGAGGGGGCGTGTCTTCTGTCCCGAGGACGCCCGTTCTGAAGGGAAGGGTGGGCGAGGCCTCCGTGCCGGTGGGTGGGGCTAACCAAACTGAGGGGCGGGGTTTCGCCGCGGCATGTGGCGGGCTGTAGTGGCGGGGGCTGTTGTCGCTCGCTCTCCTTCTGCTTCCGTGGCTGCGTTCCTTCCATGTGGGCCCGACGGACGGAGGTGGGATGCAGTGGCTGCTGCTCCTTCTGCTTCGGGAGGGTAGTCCAGCCTACTTCCTTTGGGTTCTTTTTTGGGGGCGATCTGTAACTTCCTGGCCTTGCAACCTGTGGGAGCGCTCGGCGGTGGGGAGGAGGAAGACCACTGGGAAGGGGTCGCGGGGGTCTCACGGTTCCCGCACAATTCTCGCTGTACGTTCCTAAGTTTGTGGGAAGCCAGGAAAGAGACGCCTCCTCGGACCCGGGATGTGTCTGTGCTTCCTAAAGGATAAATCATCTATCCCGCCAGACCTTTCTCCCTTTCTCATCTCGGATTTGGGGGGGGGGGGACTCTGTCGCCCGCCCCGTGACTCAGCTTCGCGGTACTGACCATCCTCCAGCCTTCTCACCTGCGAGGATGGATGGACGTGAAACTGGAATTTGCACCGTTTCGTTCTTACGTTGGCAGAGGGTGGAGCTCAAACTCGGTTGCCTACAGACACTCAGCTAATGTTTCCTGTCCTCCAGTGGTGTAGATGCAAGCCCGAGCCCCAGCCCCCTTCACTTTTCTTCTCCCTCTTTTCTCCTTCTTTCGAATTTAACTCCAAAGTGAAACAGCTGCCCCCAGCGTGGCGCCCTTCGGATGCGTTGGACTCAGGATAGGGGTTGCAGCCCAGCACATCTGGAAAGCACCAGTTTAGAGCAGATTGCTGTCCAAGAAGGGAGGGCTGGGATTTGGGGGAATTTTGACGGGCCTGTGGATTAAATCTTTTGCCTGGAGCTGTTCATGCAGCTGCTGAGTGAGCGATCTTACACTGCCTTGAAAGTGTGTCATTGTCTGCAACACTTTAAGTAGCTTCTCAAATCACACTTTTAGTGCTGGAATGCTATTCTATCCAGTCGCTTTTCCTTCTTTTATTTGTAATGGCTGGTTGTACTTTACCAGTAATACTACTTGAAAGATGGTGGTGGGTTGAGAGGTTTATGCCAACACGGTATACTCAAAAGACATCTTCTCTTTTCTTTACTCTGCCTCAGCACTGGCTTGGGCATGTGGCTATCAAGGGAAGCTTTTGTGACTCTGCTAATATCTCCTACAAAGAATGGAATGGCAATAGGGAGTTTTCTTGATTTTGTTTCTAGCAGGGTAGCCAAGCTGGTCTGTGGCAGCAAAACAATGAAGTCTTTGTGAAAAAATATAACAAATTATGGCATAAGCTTTTATGGGCAAGAAACCATCAGATGCACATGGAGTTCATCCTGAGTGGCTTGGGTGCACACTTGGATGTAAGGGAGAGAAGAAGAAAGTGTTAGCAATGGGGTGGGGGGAGAGAAGAAAGAAATTTAGATCATAATAATTATGGTAAAGTTTTGATGAATGTGAAATAATTACAGTGACCGTTCATAAAGTAGCGCTAATCAAGACCTGGAGGCTGAAAATTAATGAAATACTTGGAGCATGAATAAAATCTCAATCTCAGTTTGAGCCACAAGTGATAGACTTAAACTTCTTAATATGTGTTAACTTCACAGTTTTGTGCTGGACTCTGTTTTTCCTCATGGGATGTTTTCTATTTTAAAAAGAGAAAACACAAGGTTAAAAATTGCATGAATGCCCATTGGCCAGGCATATATATGCAAGTGTAATCCTGAATTTAGTCAAACAAAATTACAAATAGAATTATGGTGTTTCTAATAATTATCCCAAGTTATGTGTTTTCTTCCTTCATTTTGTGAAATTAGGCCAGTCAGAATCTAGTTCTCCCTTTCTCTGTTCAGCTTGGTCTTCTTGCATTCTTGTGCTTCATCTCCTCTAGGGTCCATCTAGGTTGGGTCCTTTCCTATAATCATTTACAGGAGCATGGAAACTTTGGTAGCCCTTGAAGCAGGTATTTGCCACCACTGCTGCTTCTGCACTGGGGCTGCCCTTGACTACATGTGCAGGGCAGATCAGTGCCTTTGAGAATGGGTTTGCCATCCAGCCTCCCTCTCAGAAAGACCTAAATTGTGCCTAAGCTGGATTGAGAGTGGCTAATTCACACAAAAAATCCTGCTTGCTTTCAATGCTGATCTTGTTTGGTCATGTGAGCATAGGTCTCAATCTTGCATGTTGCTGGCAAGCTTCTGATGTAAACAGCTTACTTTTGTGCAAGGCTGTGGACTTCACTCATGACTTACACCTGTTCACATGGTGCTGCTTTTCTGCACTTGAAGAATGCAAGGTATTCTCACACTTTTGCAAAGGGAGCAATGCAACGCGAGTCTAGCCAGCAGTGAGTTCTTTGATTGTGACTACTGTGATCATTGCTACTGGTTGCTCCTGTGACCAGGTATATTTCTGCATGGGAGGTTAAGTGTGCATCTGGTGGAGAACCGGTTCTGATTCTTTGCCTACATAGAAAACATTGTTTGGACTGTTCCCAACTGTGCGCATTGTCAGTTCAATAATAATGCATTTTGTATGCAAGTAGAAAATGACACTTGTGCTTCTAACATGTCCCTTTGGAAACTTCATGTATGAATTGCTCTTATACATAACAATAAAGATGGACATTGGACATGCCAGTTATTCAAATAAACTAACTAAAAATTTACATTGTTCTATTTCCCAGCTTGGTTCCCCACCCCCTTAACTAAAGTCCATGCTTTAATTCACTTCACTTCTGTGACTCTCCCGCTAGCCTTGTTAGCTATATCCCATTCATTTACACACTGGACTCGTTTTACCTTTCTTATAGCACACAGCTTGGCTGGCTTACTTGAGCCACATGGAGGTAGGTGCCAGCATTCCAAAAGCATCTGCTATATGATTGTGATACATTTGTTATGTTAAGTGGCTTGACCTGTGACAGAAAACTGGATTTGATGGCCTCCTGGACTTCATTTAAGGGGAACTTTGAACATTGCAGGCAGTGACTGCTACAGATCTCTTACCAAGCAATTCCTTATCTCAAGAAATAGTTAAAGTGAGTGTGAAAGATACTGGCAAATATAGCAGGGTGTAGCTGTGGGTGCACATGTTCTATTTTGATGTGTTTCCTAAAGACTTGTGAAATGGGAGTGTGCTGGAATTCTTTTCCCACTCCTGTCCCTATAGGCTCCAGGCAAGGACAGTGGCTTCTATGTCTCTGCATTTCTGGAATGGCCTGAAACCTCTGATATCTGCATTACAGCACACAGGCATGCTTCTTTAGATAACACTATATCCTGCTGTATTTGATAAGCACAAAAAAATCTCTGTGCTCTATGGGGTCAATTCGCAAACTGGCATGTCTCTAAGCCTGTACTGCCATTTGCTTCACAAAAGATGAATGGGGTTAATTTCTTTTTATTTCAAGTGTTTATATATTTGAACATTCCTTCAGGCTTTGAAAAATCATGTTACTGATTTTTTGTGGTGTGCTTTTTGCTCTTTGTGATCTAGTGTGGTACTGGCGGGGATTGGCACAAGGAATAAGTGACTTCTAGAGCTCTCTTCTTCGTCGATCATCTTGGCTGAAAGGCTTGTGTTGTGGGGTGTGAAAGGGGTGCGAAATCTTTCTTCCCTTCCTGTTGTTCATTGTGTGTCAGTATGGTGACTAAAAGGTTGACCTTGTGTATGAGGGAACCCTCTCTCAGGTTTCTACCCATCTTGGGAACAAACTAGATAGGATGTTTTGGTTTTTGCTGTTTTGAACTTGTAATGTATTTCTGCTATTTTTTATTGTATTTCATATGTTTTGTGGACTGTTGCAGCCACCCAGAGAACTTCAGCTGGGGCGGTATAGAAATACAATAAATAAAAATAATTATAATACTCTTCATGCAATACTCTTTTCCTGTGGTGGGAGTCACGGTTAACATCGGACACCAGTCTGCTTGTGGTTACTAGAGATTTTTATTATTAACATTATTATCATCATCCTCATTCTTAGCCTAGATAATTTCAGTTCTTCCCTCTGCTTCCATTCAAAATGGCCTCCATCCTCCCACGTACATCTGGTGTTTGTCACTGCGATCCTGCTTTTCAGAAAGCCAGAGTATTTTTGTACTGTGATTTTTAGATACCCATATTATTATGCAGTGCTGGGAAAATAATCCTCTGTACCAGCTTGGTGCCTTCCAGATGTGTTAGACTACAATAGCCATCATCCCCAACCATTATTAAACCTACATTTAAAAGACATGTTGGTGAATGCCACAGGCATAGGTTTTTACAGTTGAGTCTAACAATTCTGTGAGGTTCAGTTGCAGAAGAGGTTCATTTTTGCAGAAGAGAATCTTTTCTCTTAAGGTATGTGGGCGTATCATCTTACAGAAGAGGAAAAAGACCAGTGGATTAAGGATGCTTTAGCACCTCCAACTAGCAGCAATTAAGTGTGGCATATAGTTACAGGAGGGAAATCACAGATATCCAGAGTTTAGGTGTGTCTGATAATTACAGGAGAAGACTTGCTGGGTGCAAACTTGTTATGGAGCAGCAGAAATCCTTCCAAAAGATGTAGTATTGGAAAGATGTTTTGGCAGAGCAAGGTATTTGGTACACTGCTGCTGAGAACCTGGAACAAGGAAGACACAGTGGCCTCAAAATCCGGCACACCCCTTCTGCAAACAAATTAATGTCAATATATTACACTTGTAATAGCTCAGGTTCCTTGGCCAAACTTTCATTGGTTTGTTCAGTTTATTTTAGAATGTTGTTTTGCAAAATTCCATGACGAGGCTGCAACTGCTACAGACTAGGTTTGTCATCCTTCTCAAAATGGGCCAGGTACATTAATGGTAAAGTTTCTGACTGGTTGTCTTCAGCTGTTGTGGCAATATCTTCCAAGGTTACTTGGTGGGCAGTGGGATTGGAACATTGTTCTTCCAATTACCTGATGGGCAAGTACAGTTATTAAGGCCATACTGAATGAAGTTGTCATCTTGGTTCTGTGATGTTCTTAGTTTTCTATATACAGTTGTTGCAAAGGGGAAGACCTAATTTTCTTGGAGAGCAGCAGTAAAGTTTTAATTAAAAGTTTTTAATCAGTTTTGGAACCCAGGGAGATGCGCTTCTCCCTGCTGCAACCTGGACCTATCGGGCTACTATGCTATTATATTTTGGTACATTGAGTTGCTGCCCATTATGAAGAGTAAGCAGGAATGGACTGAGGCCTTTGGGTGTACCGAATGTGGCTTGTGATTTGCATCTGGCTGTACTTTTTGTGTCTGTTGACCCAAGAGCACAGTTACTAGAAAGCAGATTTTCCTCCACAGGTTTGTAAAGTGCTTGAGGACTTTTGCTTGAAAAGACATGTCTAGGATTGTGCTGTTAACCCCAAACTGTAATGGGTATTGGTTATAAGACAGACCTTATATGGGAATACATCGGAAAGCATGCAAAATATATTCAAAAAGTTTATGGATGCAAAGTCTGCTTGCAAGAATGAATAGCACTCTTATTTCAGAATACTTCTCTGTGTGAATAGTATTCTATTTAGTTGTAATTAATATGGCTTAGTAGTCAGTTTTGTACTGTTGTTCAGGAAACAGATATTTAAAAATCAAGCAATGATTTAAATTAATCATTTAACAGAATAAAAGTCCCCAGGCAAGTATCTCAGTGACCATAGGATGGCCCAGAAAACTATTTCTAAGGTTGGAGATCGGACTCTCTGACATTGAAAGGGGCAGTTGGAGAATGCACAGCCCTTGGAGAGGGCAAAAGAGGGCGTTCTAGTGGGTATGGATAGGTGGAGACCAAAGAGGCCAGGATGTAATTAATCCTGAGCCTCTTCCAGCCCTGCTTCCCTCCTGCTCTAAAGTGCCCTTGCTTTGGGTTAAAAAGCCTACCAGGCAAAACAAGGGCACTGGTGGCTGGGGATTGCCTCCACTGCACCTCTTACACATCCTGGCAGGACACAGGACCCTCACAGTCCTCTGAGCCACAAGGCTGCAGCCCATAAGATTGCACCTGGAGTCTCCCTCTGCCCTTCCTGATTTAATTGAATCCAGCCTGGGTTGAATACCAATCTACGTAAAGGAGCTTCCAATAATATGGAGCATAAGGCACATTTGTCATCTTTTGTAGCATTATTTTGGTTTGCTAGTGAAGCTCCAATGCTAAGATATTTTCCTCACTTCTTGTTCTGCCTGGTATGATGTGTGCTTTCTTCCTTTCCTCTGCTGCAGGACCAAGACTTCCTTTAACAAGTGAGGATGCCTTTGGCAAGCATAGATGTGGTAAGTTTTTTGCAGTTTGGGTTCCTGCCTGTATCAGGTTGTTTTGCAGTGGAAATGAACTTGTCTTGCCTGCAGGAGAACTTAAGCCATTAGTCTCTTGGAGTCGGTGATGTGTGATGCTACTTCTTAACGATGCGAGACCTTAACGAAGACCAGCCGAGGGAGGTGCTACTTGTCTAGACAGTAACTGAAAAGGTGCTCTGCTCAACCCCGTTTATTAACTTGGAAAGGTTCAGGTGAGGTGTGAAATAGTGAACCCACAATAAGGACTGCTTTACAACCTTACACAAATGTATGTATCTTATTTCTTTTTAGTAATAGATATGCACCAATTAGTATAATAAACTTTCTGAGCAGTTTTCCACATAAGCTTCCTTTAACGGCTGTTCTTGCACTGTGTGTGGTGTGGTTGCCCGTGGCAGCTTCTCCAGAGCTCCTCAGTTAAGTTCATGACATGCACTTGCTCACATTTGCATTGTCCTCAGCAGGAGACGGGCAATTTAGTTCCTCACTTCTGCCTCTGTTGGCCTTTGAAAGATGTTCCCCAAGAGCCTAGCTGAGGTTTCACGCTTCCTATTTTATGTCCTGAGCAGAGAGAAAGGGAGGAGCACCAGATAGGTGGCAGAGGATGCATTTCAGCCAGGGCTTGCTCACTGATTAGATTAACCCATGATTTCCGGGGGTGCCCACTGCACGAGGGTCCCTTCCAGTCCAAGTAGAATTGACTTGTGCCTATCCCAGAAAACTGTGGGTTGATTAACTCACAGTTTGCCAACATGCCATGCACTGGATAATATTGCCCACTGGGTATGGCCCACTGGATAGTATTTCCTTACCTTTCTTGGTTATTGTGGGGCTGATGGCTGTGTGTATATTTATTTAATATTCTACCCTGTAACAAAGTTTAGTCTGCCTCACCCAATAGAACAGGTTAGACACAACAAATGCCATAATAAAAATCTAAAATGCCTGGTGTCAAAATAATAGTGTGGGGACTTAGTGAGCACCCTGTGGAAGGGAATTCCGTAAACAGGATGCCACAACTAAGAAGATCCTTGCTGATGTAGCCCCCCAACTACTTTTGGTAGGTAGGTAGACAGTAGTATACACACATAGGAGTAGGTTTAGAACCTCTTTTGGGGCACAGGACCTCTTTCAGGGCCAATTTCTACTTCAGAAAAACTTTGGGGGGCTTTATTCTAATAGAGGTTGAGGCTGAAGGGAAAATCCCTTTGCGCAAAGTCAAAACGGTCCAAAAGGGCAGAGCTCTGACTTAGTACCCCACATTTAGAATGGGGAAGAAACTATAGAAAAACCGAGCACCAAACGATCAGTGACTGAGGGGAAGGGGGTGTGTGGTGGGCTGGGTTTGGCCTGTGGGCCTGAGGTTCTACATCTCTGTTTTGACAGCAGTAGGGAGTACAGTGAGGGATGCAACAAGAACCCAGTTTGTGATCACCGCGTTTGAATTGTTCAGAATGAGGAGCTGAGCCTCAGGAGACTCTGTTGACTTCTTGAGCCATTGGACTAAAAGATCCATCCATCTTCCTGGGAGACAGAACACTGTCACATGAATGCTGCAAGAAGTCAAGCCAGAAGTTGTCTCTGCTTCCCGACTGCCAGGGTGATGCAGGGAGGGTACAAGGAGTTGAATTACAATAGCAATTTTCTTTAGGATTATATGTGGAAGGAGTTTGCAATAAACACATGACTCTTGATCTATGTAAATAGCTTATAAAACAAAGGTGCAATCTCCAGAATTCAAAGTACATAGTTAAACATTCTTGTCTGGAGGCTTTCCTTTGGGATTAAGTTTCCCATAGCTTCAAAGTTTGTATGTGCATTAATTCTAATAATTCAGACACATTTCTTTTTTAAAATGCTTCCTTTGAGACAAGAATACTGCACTTGTTAGCCAAATAAAAGAGATCCAGAAAAGACTAAAAAAAATTGACTAAAAGGCATGACTAGAGACATGGTTCACATACCATGACCATTAGTGGACTCATTAATTAATTGAGTCTCTATGGAACACACCTTACCCTAAGCCAAACTATGAAAAAACATGAACAGCCCTAACTAACCCATGATGAATTAAGCCATGGGCAGTTGGGACCATGCAGAAGCATGTCCACTGCCTCTAGCTGCAAGTCTGCCAGGTTTATTGACCTGCAAAGACTTTGCAGGAAGCTGATCCACTGAGTAGGTCCTTGGGATTGCTTATTATCTCTCTCTAACTTTGAATCAGGTGCACTTAGGCCCTATTTCCTTTTATAATGCCAGTTAGATCTTGGGTCTTTCTAGTGTGCCCTAGTATTTTGTGACCGCTAACAGTAATTACAAGCATCATGAAACTGAATAATACATGCAGCACTGGGAGACATTAAGTCTTCTGTAGCAATGTCTGTTCAACAGATTCCTGGAGCCAAAAGACTTGAACAGAACAGCTCTTCTTGTATTGGACAACATCCAGCCTTTTCTTTGGTGGAACATCCACAATGGTCCCTAAAGTTCTCATTAGATGTATTTTTCCTCTGTACTTATTGGAAAAACTGAAAAATGTTGGTGCACTTTAGTATATGCACTTAATTTTTTAAAATGTGTACAATTGAATTAGGGCTCTGAGCTATGCAGGGGTTGGAGAAACTAGAAAAAATGTGCACATCGTTAAATATGCACAAAAACCCAAACATAGACAATAGCAGTGGACAATTATCTGTGCAGTATTAGACAATCTAATCAGAGAAAAAATGAAAACAAGAATACTAATAATCCCATTACTCTTCAGTAGTACCAGCTTAAAAATCACAAAGCTATGAGCTAGTGTTCACACAGTGCTTAAACCTCAAACTGACTTTGTGATGTCTAAGCTGGTCCGAATGAAAACGTATTTGATACCACAGAAAGAGTGTAAATAGTTCCCGAAATGCAACTGCCTCACCCCTTCTCCAAGAAGCAAAGGGGGGTGTATATTTTATCCTTGTAGCATCCCTGTGAGGGAGGTTGGTCTGAAATGGTGACTTGTCCAGAGCTGTGCACTGAGCTTTGTGGTCCAGCAGGGATGGCCCTGGTGCACACAGTCCAAACTGGCAGTACAGCAATACGACCTTGCTGAACTGGAACATGGACAGCATGGTGTGTTTAACTGCAATCAGCCAAATTCCCTCAGCACACAGAAGACAAATTGGTGCATCTCTGGATGTTGTTGAATTGCGTCTCCCCTCATTCCTCGCCATTGACTGTCCTGGCTAGGGCTGATGGAGTTGCTGTCCAACGATATCTGAAGAACCGCATGGTCCTCACCTTGCTGTAGAAGCTTGTGAGCTGGGCAGTGAAGGTTTACAGCCTTTTCCTGAGCAGAAATGACGGATCATTTCCCAGCTAAACCACAAAGAAGGAACTGTCTTGAAACAAGTGCATGCTGTGTCTCTATACGAGGGCAGCACCTGATGATTCAAGTGCCACACTGTAGATCTTCCCGCCAAGGCCCATGTTGGTTGTCGTTTCTCTCCCCAACAATTTAAATCCACATTTTTGCAGCTTTTGAGGATTTCCTCATTTATATTCTTCTTGCACACAACATTCTGCCGATCCAAAGGTGCAAGCTCTGCAGTGTTCTCACATTGGTACTGCAGTGTATATCCAGGCTGTATATAGAACATCCATTTAATCAGCTACTTAAGTCTCATGGAAAACTTTTCAGTGAGGAAGGAACAGAAAAAGAGAATCGTTGAAGAAGTGGCTTTCATTTGCCCAGCGTTGTCAGGTTTACCTCAGAGAGAGAGAGAGAGAGAATGTCACTTAAAATGCCCACAAGCTGCTTATAGGTCAGAGAACACAACTGATGCAACAGTTCTGGAGACTGAGCCTGTTTTTCAGCTTTCCACATGGCACTTGAAAATTATGGAAATGACAGCTTTATATTTAGGCACTTGGAAAATATGTGAAAAATACCCTGACCCAACTAAGGGTCTAATTTATGAAGAGTTGTTTTAAAAAGTGAAGCCAGCATTTTTCGATGTCTCATTTTAATGGAGTAATTGTCTGGTATAGAATTTTGCCCCGACAGCAAGCTTTGTGTGCAACACAATGCCCTAGTTGTAGCATTGTATTCGCATCATTTGCAAATCCAGCCTGTCACAGTGGCACACCAGTGGGGCATGGCATCACTGCACAGACAGCAGCCGCTAGCACTAAATGCGGTGTTGTAGTACTGCACAAAGACCTTTTATGTAGGATCCTGCAGAGGGCAAGGTTTGCACAATGACTCAAATACCATCCTAAAGACTTCACAGTCACCACAATCCAGCTATAATGATACCAGTTTTGCAGCCTCTGTGAAAAAGGCAGGAAACTTGGGTGTCCCCTCCAGGTATTTTGGACTGCAGCTCTCGTAACACCTTCCCATTCCTCAGGTTGGCCAGCTGGTGGAAGTTGTATTCTAAAAGATCTGTAGGGTGTCAGCTTCGGGAAGGCTGCTGCACGTCCAACAGGACCGCTGCTCTTGTAGCAGACCAGGCTCATGCATCACAGCACTCCGTCAGTTCAACAGTCCGTGGGTTGTCGTGCATGAGTGGTGCTGAGCCACTGCTTTTACTGTACAGCCCACCATCAGCTCCTTTTTACACTGTGGAGACTGACATCTGAACCTGGACTGCTGGGTTGTTTGCGACAAAATAGTCCAGGACTTAACCCTGGTTAATCCTTCTCATGCACAACACACCAGTTGTTTAACTGATCAGTTGTGGCTATGTGTAACTTTCCTAGATTGCTTCATGAGGGCTCTTTCTTTAGCTGCATCAGCTGATTTGTGCAACAAAAGAAATATGCATAACTTCACAAGCACTCACAAACAATTTAGATGGATTCTAAGCTATAGCAGAGTTCCAAGCACAGCTAAGACCTCCAGGAATCCTGCCAGCAATTGTGCACCTTTCAGGAAGGGAAGTAAACAGGCCTCTTACCATCTCTAGCCAGTTTCTGTCCCCTCAGGTCATTAT